TAGTGGAGGTGGGAGGTTCTGGATCTATGGGTGGGTCCACAGCCATGCGTTTGACCTTACGTCGTCGCCTAAGGCTTCGAGTCCCCTCTGCTGAGCCCAGGACACCCAGGTCATCCGGCCAGAGCGGCCGTTTACTTCGCCCCATGTCGGCTGTGTAGGGGATTCGCCGTTTGGGGCCAAGTTGTTCATCTGAGTCACTGTTGTCACGGGCATGGCTATTGGCAGCAGAGACAGCTCCTGTACTGGCACGGTAGTCCTGCAACAAATGACACTGTGGTGAATACCAGGCTGTGATGCTGATGCTAAATTAAGACACTTGCATCAACACGAGTATGTCAGCTAAGACAGAAGCAACAGCAGTGGGGCCGGATTTATGAAACACAGACACATTTTTACCCAAATAAAAATGTTTGCTATTGTCCAAAACGCCACACTATTTTAATATATTTTGGATCCCCCCCCCAGTTACATTTTTCTCCTCTTCTCAAAACAACTACAGCAAGCCAGATAACTACATCCTCAAATGTAGTAAAACTGGCTCAGCTGGTCTTAGGTAACACTGTTGACACAGGGTTTCAAACAGATGTGTCTCGTCCACAGTCCCTATTCAATTCACCCTATCTCACCTTATGTTCCTCCACACTGGACTCTGAACCCTCACTGAGGTGGCCCGTCTCCCACGGTGGATGTGGGTTGTCTGAGCGTCGTTTCCTACCCCTCCGCTTCCGAGCCTGTCTCTTTAGCAGACAGCCCACTGCCAGTGCATGGTCACCTCCATCACCAAAACCACCACGGGCAGCTTGCTCTGAGCTCTCCTCCAGCGCTGACACCAGGTCATGGACCAGCTCGTCCATCGTTCGGCGAAAGTGCCTGAGATTAAGCAAAAAGGAGGGTAAATACAATTTTATCTCACACCAGGAGTGGACAATCAGATACCTAAAGCACTTACAAGCACTAACGATTTCGCGTGTGCACGTGTATTGGTATAGAGTATAAGAATGTAGCCATTATGTGTAGATTCCTATTAATGGGCAAACCGCAAGGAAACTTAAGAGACGACTCCTGACTAAACAGATGCAAATTGAAATGCTATCACGTCAGCTAGCTGTCGATAAGCCCAACTGACGGTGACAACTTTGGACATGGGAGTAAGCTAGCTGTAAAATATCTGAGACTATAGCCTGGTGATCATTCACATTACATAACGTCCATGTCTTCCCAGCAAGCAAAGCTAGGGCTAACACACGATGGGTGCACTGCTGAAATACAGTATTAACAAATCTCAGGCGATACCATTTAACAGCCCGCGATTGTGGGTTGCAAGGTTCTCTAAATCGACGCTTGCTTTAGTTTGCACTTTAAGTTGTTAGCTTCGAGGGCTAACGTTTTCTTGCTACTTAGCCAAGCCCTTCCAAAACAAACCCTGAACTACAGAATTTAAAAGCTGACCAACTGCTGGTACGTAACAGCGTTAACATGTAATAACACTCACGGCATTAACTTATACTTAGTTTAAACAAGCGCCGCCAAAAAGTAAACAACAAACACACCCTAAAATATTCAGAAGAGCTTAGCTGCTAGCCTGTTAGCGCAGCTAGCCTTCTCTCTGCCTCTAGCCGGCTGATTCACGAGAGTGGAGTGGACGTGAACAATATGTTACGTCTCCGCGGTTTCAAACACCACCTACCAGCCAGTTCCCGCTTTGCCGATGGTTTTTAGATTAGCTGCACGGAACATGAAAGCCACCAAGTCCCCGCTATCCTTAGCCAGAAACAACGGACAAACACTGACACGCCACTGAAACCATTCTGGCACAAAAGCTAACGATCAGCTAACTGGATCAATATGCGACAAGAGGAGGACACCGTGAAAGCAGCAGCAAGGTACTGTGTTGCCTTTGAGTGCTGAAGAAAATCCACAGCATTACGATGGGAGAAAGAGATCGTCAGAACATAATAATATTAAGGAGCATTACAATTATTATATTTAAATACGCCAAAACTGGATAAAATATATGTATGTATGTGGTTGATAACAACATGTCGTATCTATAAATATTTGCGTACCATTAACTGTCATGTATGTACACAATAACTGAAAAGCTGCTGTTGCAATAATGTACATGAATGCAACATCAAGCGCTTGACTTCCACGTGTATTTACCTGTATTGAACACTAGAGGACGGTGTAGTATAAAACTGGATCCATAGTTGAACTCTGTTGGGCTATGAAATACAAACCGATCAGCCATCAGCCAGCAAACATTAAAACTGGTGACATTTGAAATCAGGGGCGATTTTAGCTCATTTTTGGGGGTGATAAATCAAAGCACCCCCAAAGACTTTTTACTTTTTTTGACAATATTTGCTGTTTGTGTGACACACTACTAAAAATATAAAAAGCATACAGTACTGTACTTGTTTGAGACGTAACATTTTACCACATTTTGGTTTGTTCCAGCTCCCTCCTGGCTGCTGCCAGAGCGATGGTGGCTGAGACGCAGCGGAGCGGAGGTGTAAGTGCCTGGCTTAAAACAGGACATATTAGCTGCATTTAACCTTCAGTTACTCTTTATATAGTTAGGTAGGAGTCAGACCATGTTTCTTTTTAGCTGAAAAACATTACACCAGGTAACCTGCGTGTTGAAAACGTGTTTTCTGACAATGTTTGCTACCCTACAATCCGTCCTGCTCTGTAGTAAAATCAGCGACATTTGACCGTCCTGTTGCTCCCATTGAAATGTATACAGCCTATTTAAAATCTAAAACTTTAAATTGTCCGTAGCCTGCTGTTGTTACCACTGTCCTGTTTGAAATGGATACTAACTAGCTAACTGACTGATGCCCATTAACCTTATAACTCCTGTTGTGTGTGTGTGTGTTTGTGTACAGAGAGACAGCCAGGTTCATAATGGATATAAGGAAGTTTTTTCAAAAAAAGGAGCCACATTCAGGTAAAAGTGTAAAATCAAATGATCCATCATCAAGAATAATGTTGGATCAGTGTTTCAATGTTTATATCTTTTATTGGTTGTTCATGTGGTTTGGTTATTTGCCTTTTGGTTGAAAGTACACTGAGAGAGGACTTTTTGTTAGTGATCTTAATAGAATTTTTTTCATATTAATGTAATTTTTCATCTAATTGAATACAATCTATTTGTGTATGATTGTCAGTCCAAAGAGGGAGAGAGGAAAGAGGGAACGTGAGGAGAAAGTACAAGGTCAGGAAGAACCAGGTAAGAAAACAGACAGGGAACAGTGACAGGCACAACAGAAACTGTTAAACTGACAAAGAGAAAAAACCTGATTTTACTCACACAATCTGGAAGTTGTGTTCTCCCTATATTAAAGCTGCTATACAGAATCTGCAAAACAAACTGGGTTGAAACATTTTTGACCCTCTTTAACAACATTCCAACATAACATTATAATTGATTGGGGAGATTAAAATTAATGATATATTTTTATGTGGTTCAGCCACAACTCTACTAAAACCTCAGCCAGTAATAGGTAGGCCAACTTTTGGACCGTCCAGTTGTCTGTATGACTGCCGCAGTACGTACATCACATTTGCACACTATCAGAAAGTGCCAAACAGCCCTGGTGGAGTGAGGAGCTGTAAAGAGAAGCAGATGCTCTGTTTATATTCTAAAAATGTTTTAAGCTTGTTTCAAAGATTCTGTACAGCAGCTTTAAATGTTTTCCAAAAGCACACATACACTTATCAGTGTTTCTCAAACTTTTTACAGTGTGTACCACCTGAGAAAAATGTCAAGCTCTCCCAAGTACCACTATGAAAGCATGAAACTCATAAATCTTACAACACAAAATTAGTATCTGCAGTAAAGATTTTTTCATCATTGTATACATTCTACCACAGGCAAAGTTGCCTCCATTTTTATATTTTTTTTTTTTAATAATTTATTTGTAATAATTTATTCTGTTTTGGGAGTGTTTTTATGTATCTGTATTATATTATACAATACACATTAAAAGTGAATCTCTGTCCAAAAAATGCACTCAGTTTACTTTTTACTCACTATGAGCATCATTCATTATTCTCCCCAGTAATTAAGGTTAGGATATGTATTTTTTTTATTCCAATCCATTCTTCTTTTGCAGCATTTAAATAACCTTGATCAGATTTGATGGTTTTGTTACAGACTTTTCAAAAAAGTGTTTTGCTTTTCTTTCACAAATGTGGGATTAAATTGTGTTAAAATGTACAAAACAGTGATGTCATGTTTTGTGACGAGGACCCAGGCACAGAGAGACTTGATGAATTTAAGAATCTTATGATTTAATAAAGAAATTTGCAGACTTGCACAGAGATGGTAAAATTATGATGACTGATAACGGAGAGAAGACAACAGACGATGAGGACAGGGAGGAACAGGGGTTTAAATGCACCAAGGAGACAGTCAGAGAGAACTCGGGACAACATTTAAGGATGCAGGGACTGACAGAGACAGGTTTATCTTGCCTGGCTGGGCAGCTCTCTGGGTGCTCAGCACCCCCAAAGCTCTGATCCTAGAATCGGCCCTGAGTTATGACCTTCTTGCCATATTGGCAGAATAAATGACCTGGAAGCTGTTGCACTGTCTGCACCTGTAAACTCCAGGACACGTTTACAAACAATTTTCGTTGTTATTTGCGCTGCAGCTGCAGGTTAGGGTGGAGTTACTGTGTGTGTGTTTACAAGTAGTTTTAAACCTTGTGATCCACAAAACAGCATAACAGTAAAAGAAGAATTGACTGCGTTACAGTCAGTGCGGGAGCGGCGGCTTTGCTCGTGCGCGATTCATTTGCAGTTTGGACGCACGTGAACATCTCCTGCCCTGATAGCGGCTGGAGGAGGACTATCCTCCGCCTGTGAGCGCTTTGGCACGAGCGAGGTGCCCACGGCAGCACCCGCTGCTTGTTGAGAGTAAGAGCAACAAGCGCTTTCACGTCAAAAGTCGTCATAAATTAAGCCTCCAATAACACCAGAAGCTAGTCGCTTTTTGGGGAAAAAAACGACGCTAAGGGGGTTTGAAAACTCCCGAAATATAGCGACAAAATCGCTAAGTTGGCAACACTGTTTTCAGGGTATTTAAAAAAATTCAAAACAAAACAAAACAAAACCGTGCATCTCAATGGGTATTCTCTGAGCATGCGCAGAATTACGCACAGTTGTCATGTGATCCTATGAGCGAACAAAGGATCAAAGGCTCAAAGAGCGCTGACGTCATATTCGCAGCCACAAAAGTCTATAAATACCCCCTCTTCACCTTTGCAAACACAGTTTTCTTGGAACATTTTCAGAAACGGCGAGTTGTGTTTAGCAAACCAGAAACTTTTCAGAAAGGGACTATTTTTAAACTTAAACAATTAAGCAAACATTTTTTCTTGTGACACTTTGCATTAAAACGTTTAAAGAAATGTCACACGAAACATTTAATAATTCACAGTCTGACGGAGAGATTCGAGAGGAATCACAAAGACTGTATGGGTTGATGGAGAGACAAATACCTGACCCTATGGAGCTTCAAATGAAAGTTCAACAACTCCAGTTGGAGTTGAGCACCCTAAAGCTCAAAAAGAATTATTATAAAGATAAGTTCCATCAGTCAAGAGATGAGCTTAAACACATGAAGGCTCAGGCTAAAAAAAATCAGACACAGGTGGAATCTCTGGAGGCTAAACTCCAGGAACAGGAAAAGAACGTTCAGACAATGCACCATGACTTTTTGGAAAAGGCGGAATCTCTCATTGAGCAGAACAGCAGCATTGCTGCTCAGTTGTCTCAGATTCAATGTGATAGACACGAGCTAAAGAAACAGAACACAGATCTCAATGACTCTTTAGAGAGACTTGAGCAGCAAGTGGGAGAAGCTCACCATGAAATAATAAAAAAAGAAGAGCTTATAGAAAAACAATATAGGGAAATATTTCGGAAGACAGAACTCACAGTTGAGCTGAAAAGAGAAATTTGTACTCTTCAGCATCAGGTGAGACAGACACTTGATGAAAAGCAGTTGCAGGTCAAATCTCTGGAGGCTAAAATGCAGGAGCAGGTTAGCACAATCCAGAGGATGCACCGTGACTTTCATGAAAAAGAGGAATATTTCCTTAAGGAGAACAGCAGCATTGCTGCTGAGATAGACAAATTAAAAACAGCAAACACAAATCTCAAGAAACGTTTGCAAAATCTTGAGTATCAAGAAAGAACAACAGAAAGTCTGACACTGCAAATATTTTGGCTGGAAGAAAAAGTCAAAAAGCAAAATTTCAAGATTGTTCATAACAACGATCTCATAGATGAACTTTATGAACATCTTAAAATGAAAAGAGAAATAATTAATAATCTTAAGGATGAGCTGAGAAGGGAGGAGGAAGAAGAAATATTAGCTGCTGTTTACAACATCACTGGTGAACCTCTGCAGCTGGAGAATTTTGCTCCTGAACCCGAGGAGCTTGTTTCTCCTGCCTCAGAACCATCTCCTGATGTGGTCCCGACACAGGACAATCTTGCTCCTGAACCCGAGGAGCTTGATTCTCCTGCCTCAGAACCATCTCCTGATGTGGTCCCGACACAGGACAATCTTGCTCCTGAACCCGAAGAGCTTGATTCTCCTGTCTCAGAACCATCTCCTGACGTGGTTCCGACTAGTGGTTCATGGCGTCATGGTGCCAAACGCCTACTTAAAATAGGTTTAGGCGTTGCCGCAGTAGGCCTTATTATACCTGCAGCTTACTGGGGCTTTTCAAAGCTTAACAGTGATAGCCTATTTAACTCTGTCTGTGGCCTCCTTGAGCCATATTCCTACCTTGATGATCGATTAGTCCCTTTTTAAAGACTGAGCAACATTTAGCTAACTTGTGCTCTCATTTTTCTTTTCTTTTGCCTCTCACCCCCCAACCAGTCGCGACAGATGGCTGCCCCTTCCTGAGCCTGGTTCTGTCAAAGGTTTCTTCCTGTTTAAAGGGAGTTTTTCCTTTCCACCGTGCCTAGTGCTTGCTCACAGGGGATCATTTGATTGTTGGGGTTTAATTTGTTAAAAAACATAACAAATTAGGTGAGGGGTTCACATAATAGAGAGCACAACAAAAACTACAAATTTTAAAAAAATTTGTTAGTTGCAAATCAAAATAAAGACAACAGTTTCTGAAAAACATCTCTTACGGCTCTGTTTATTTGCTTAAATGAACACTTGTATTTTTTGTCATAGAAGAATATACATTGTCTTAAGTATTTAATCATTTTAAATTTAGCCCTGCGCTGCATGAGATAAACTGAGATGAGATAAACACAGACGGCTGTCGGCCTGGCGAGGGAAAGTTCCTCTTCAACCTCCAAACTGAACCCAGTTTGTTACTCGCAGCATCGCAAAATTAGACACAGCAATTTCTTAGAGTCTGGTTTAAGTCCTGAAATGACATCTCCTTACCTGTCACGGTTCTGGGTCAGTTTGACCCAGTATTTTGAGTTGTTATGTTTTGGTGTGTTTTTGCATTATGGATTGTTTTCTTATTCTCTTGTGGTGCTTTTGTTGGTTATGATGATGATGATGATGGTGATTATTAATCTATGTTTTAGTTATTCTTGTTTAGGGATTAGTTCTTAGGTTTTGTGTTCTCATGTTTTTTGCTGGTTTAGTTCAGTGTCTAGTCTGTCTCTCTCTGTCCAGTCCGTGTCTTAGTTTAGTGTGTATTGTTTCCTGTTTTATTTTGAAGGATTGTGTCTTATGTCAGTGTGTCCAGCTTCGATCCCCTGACTCGTTAGCCCCAATCTCTCCCAGCTGTGTCTCCCTCCTGTTTTCCATTCCCTGATTACTTCCCTGTGTATATTAGCCCTGTGTTTGCCCTTCCTCAGTGCTGCATTGTACCATCGGATTATGCCTGTGTGTTTTATACTGTGTTCAGTATTTTCATGTTCACTACCCTTGTTCAGTTCATGTTTTAATTTCTCCAGCAATAAAGTTGAGGTTTTGAGTTACAGTTCTGTGTTTGAGTCCTGCATTTGGATCCTCATCTCCGCCTGCCCGCACACAAAGCCCTGACATTACCAGCATAGAAGCATTCACAGTCATTACACTATATGTACACTATATGTGGAAAAAAAGAAGAAAAACAGAAAGCCAAATAAGAAATACTTCTAAGCAGTAGAAGGTTGTTGACAGTAGCAAGCTACAGGTCTCTCAATATCTTTCAATATTGCTCTCCCTGAGAACGCTGTGCACAGCTAGGTTTAAGGTATTCTCAGGTATTAGAATTTAACACATTTAAGTATACTGACATAAGTAAGTTGGAGGAAGTTTCAGGTGACCTCCTGCAGCTTGCTGGAATTCTTGTCTGGATTGCCTAAGCAAACACTTGCTTAGTTGGCAACAAGATATCAAGTTAGCGGGGCACCTGAGACACACTTTGTCTAATTAATTGCAGTGTTTTGCCATTCTCAGTGAGAGATGAGAGGCCTTATAAGTGGGTTTTGATAACAATGTCCCGGGGGTACAAGCTGCAGTTTCGTCATCGATCTCACCCTTTTCAGAGAAAGTGACTTCTGTCACACTCGTTGAAGACACTGGGCTTGTCATAGGAAATATGCTACTGGGCAAAAGGGCTATCACAATAGTGCAATCAGAACACGGGATTAATGAACAAGGGATTTTATTCCACTTACTTCTTGATTCCAGATACTATATCAATGTCCTGAAGACCATCACTCCAGGAGAGTGGTTCACCTTAGTAGTCCTCAATGATGCTTACTTCCATGTGCCAGTTCATTTTGAACACAGAAGGTTTCTGCATTTCACCTTTTGGGAAGTGTGCATCAGTTTGCTATCCTCCCCTTCGGCCTGTCCCTTGCCCGTTGGATTTTTACGAGGTGACAAGGCCATCCTTGACCTCAATAATCCTGCTGAGAATAAAGATCCCTGATGATTTGCTTATCTGCATCCCCTTATTAAAGGAGACAGAAAAGGCAACAGCCAACGTCCTAGACCACCATGTGGTCTTGGGAATGTTAATTAGTTGGGCAAAGAGCTTCCTACATCAATCATAGCAGGCCAAGCTCAACCCTCCAAGACCCAAAGGTTAAAACTTTTCACTATATAAATAAAATGGAATTGCAATTTAATGAATATGTCAATAATTTATAGTGTTTTTAAATATTCCAGTATAGTAGATACATGGATGTTAATGCACAGTAATTGTACACAGTATTGTGTCTGACATTACCTCTAAGAGGGCGCCATGGAGTCAGTAACGTGTAGAAAAATGCATAGATAACAAAACTGGAATCATATAAATACGGTTACACCAGCAAAACAATGCGAGTTAACTGTTACTGTTTAACTTTTGTGTTAACTAGATTGAAGTCAAGGTTAAATTTTAGTAATGGTGGTTTCAAAATATTTTCAATGCACTGATAGGTGATCCAGAAGTAGAGGAGTCATCAGTGAATAATGAAACTGGAGATGTCACTTCTAGAGCAGGACATCTGACTTAATTCTAATGAACCACGTGCCATTCATTCTTCTTAAAAATTTATCACAGTCGTTCATTAAAGAAAACACGAGAGAGCGAGAGAGAGAGAGAGAATATGAACTTAGATTAAATAAATAACTCCAACAAGTAAGAAAGGAAACATTCTAAATTCTCATTTTACTGTTTTTGCATCGCACAGTTACTTTTTTTGTGACGTAATTGTGAGTAACTGTGCATCGCAATCAGTGTTGGTCAAGTTCAGTGTTGGGTAAGTTACTTTAAAATAGTAACTTAGTTACATTACTAGTTACTTCTCTCAAAAGTAACTCAGTTACTTCAAGTTACTCGTTACTTTCAAAGTAACTAGTTACTAGGGAAAGTAACTTTGGTTTTACTCAGAATTCTCTTGTTAATGTGTTGCTTCCATAACTTTGCCAGTCTTCTAGCTTGCTTACTTGCCACAAGTGCACTGTGCCACCTACCAATAGAAAGGAAAAGATAATGTGCATATTTCCACGAGAGAAATCCCACGCCTGGACCGTCATTGACTGCTGCCATGATTCTAGCCTACGTCACAGCGTCATGTGCGCCTTTTACATCCAACACAAAAACTGCAGTCGTGGTGCTTTCGATTGTACTCAGAACTCAGAAATTCTGCCTTCTGAATAGGAAGATGTAGGTAACACCAGACTGCAGATGAGCTGCATACAGGGCTGGACTGGGACAGAAAATTGGCCCGGGCATTTTGACTAGAGACCGGCCCACCATTATAGGAAAAATCATAAAGCCTTTGAATGAAAACAAACACTGTTGTGACAGTGATGTACACTGTTTTGATGGTATATATGCATCAATCTATCAATCGTTTGTTGTAAGATTCAGATAATTATTTTTTAAAAGCTAGACATTTTAAATGAGAATAAGAAAGAAAAGTATTTCTTTGTGCCCCCTCTCCCTGTTAATGCCCTACCTGCCCCCCTGGCAACACTTTGCTAGATCCGCACCTGCACAGTTACCAGCTGTCAGCTACCTAAAAAAGGATCCTGGGTTATTTGTCTCTCAGAAACAGTTCATAACTTCCCTTCAACTCATTCATGTCACCTAAAAGGTAAACCTGTTTCTCCATCACCTGTTCAGCTCTGATGATCCAGTAAGGACATCTCCTGGTTTCATCTTCATGTTTCCCTCTCACCAGATAACCAAACCATATCATGACCAGCAGCTTTTTTACAGCTGTGGCTCCAGCAAACATCAGCTGATACTAGAAATTAATATTAAATAAATTCTAACAACAGCTGATCAAGCTTAAACGTGCTGCTGTTGTTTAGCGCGACATCCGCTGGTTTCCTCTTTCGGCGCAAAGTGAGCGATAAACAAACAAGAGAGAAAAGCCGATCAGCTGATCATTGATCAGTTTTCATGATTGAAGTAGAAACGGGAGAGGGAGGGGGAGAGAATGAAAGAAGAAGAGGCAGCTGTGCAGCAAAGACACAGAATAACTCCAGCTTTGTGCCTTTGTCGTGCCAAAGTAGGTATCCCCGACAGAATTTGTTTCCCCTGTGCTGGGAGCACTCAGGAAGTACTGATGTTTTCATTTTGTGAAAAAGTGAAAAATTAGTATCGTTACATTACCATTCAGTTTGAAGGTTACAACAGAAAATTATATATTTATTGCTCACGTGGTATCAGATGGGATTATTTTAATAAACCATTAACATTTTGGCTGATAACTATTTTTATTCTCCTGTAACTTTACTATATAAAGAGCTAAATCCTCCAAAGTTTCAGGAGTAATGCGTCATAATAAGAAGTGTTTGTAAACTAAAAATCAACAATGTGGGATACTGTTTGTCCGTGATTTGGACAGTCCAGCGTGTGCTCCCTACGCAGGGGAAACAAATTCTGTCGGGGATACCTACTTTGGCACGACACCGGAAAGGACTGAAAATCTAGCAGCACAAGCACAGAGATGCTAACATTAGCGTGGAGGCTGTTAGGTCCAGAGTGAAGGGGAACGACCTTACATGTTTAATAGACATTAAAGCTTTAATATGAAAGAAACAACTCTTTTTATCTAGCTGTAGTGTCACTTTTCAAGAAAATCTCACATGGTCAGGTGAGAGACATTTGATGAGCTGACACTGAATGACCTTTGTACCCTTCCTCAGTTCTGCACTCAGTTCTCCAACTTTTGTTATGATGAGTCTGGTTTGCACATTTCTGTGAAGTGAGTAGCAAACTCTACTCTTCTAATATAGCAAATACTTTATGAATACATTTCATCTCTTTAAAATAAATGTGCTGCTGGGAATCCTTGGCACTCGTGTGAATGTCACTTTGACACATAACACCCACCAAACAGTGTTTTAGACTAAGGAGCCCCCCCATCCCCACCCCTTAGACTAACAAAGGTCATCAGTTCAAACACACTGTGTATAATAGTCTAATATTAATTACAGTAATCACTGGAAGAGTCACTGGGTACTTGGGAGTCTTGGATTTCACCCAATGCAACAGGTGGTCTTGTCTCAACGTGATGCAACAACACTATACTGTCAACAAAGGATCAACACCCACAACAGGTGGCACAGTCTGAACTAATGAGACATTTACATATTAAAAGGTACAGTCAGGCATGTCTTATTAGGTAGATCTCTGTGCCAGTGCAGCTTATTGTGTCATTCTTGTGTGATCATGTCTAAAGGGAAGATGCCCAGTTCCACTAAAATGCAATTTTAGCAGGTGTCCCCCTCATCAAATGCCTAAGAAATCAAAGGGTCTGGTGCATGATGACCACTCCAGACCCAGCTCAGGTTTCCAACCAGGGGGCCTGGGTAAATTTAGTAAGACGCTGTTCACTTGCACTCAACAGTCAGACACTTGACATGCGCGGAGAGAGTAAGGATACAAGTTCTTGAGCAGACCAGACTCATATCTATCGAGAGGTGGCAAAGACCAAACATCTGCCGCTGGGATTAAACACACTATGGAATCATGATATCAGCAGAAGATGGAGACGAGTTAGATGAGGCTGCTCAGAACTATGCCACTGACACCACCTGGAGCTGGGTAAAGCGATTTAAGAAAAAAGAAAATCATCTGCATGTGTGGAAAAAAAACACAAAAGCATGAATAACGCTTAAAGCAAGTTATACCCGTTTGTGTGTTTCAGCATTTGTGCAATGTGAACATGAATAAAATAGTCACGACAACCTTTCAAAGTCATGCAGTAGGTTCTCTGAGTAGAAGCAGGGAGAGCGGGGTTGTATTTTTCCATAATCCACCAGTGTAAGACTAGACGTTACCACTGAAACTGAAGATGACGGGCTCAGACTCATTAGGTCAAGTAAAAGTTACGAGATACCCTACAGCAGTTGTTATCAACTATATTCACAAATGCATCCACAACACCGAAAGACAGCAGATGTTTTCCTTTTTGTTTTTCCGTATTTGTTTGACATCTTACAGTTAACTTAAATGACTTTTTAAAAACAATCTGCAACCATAAGCCCTGGAAAAGCTCATTATTTTTCCTTTTAGTCTCTGAGTCAGAGTTTAGTCTTTTCAGCCTCTGTCTCATGATCCTCAGGCCAGAATCGCCTCAGCCAATCAGAAACCTATATTATTTTAACAACTGACTCAATTAAAATGTCGTTTAACAAGAATTAGTAATACCTGAGGCAAACTGTGTTGAGTAAGTCCGGTTTATGGTGGAGTCATTTGTAAAAAATGACTGTCAAGCACCTTTCGCTGCATTTTTTGTATGTATTAAAGTGCATGACCAGATCTATGACAGGACAAGCAAACATTTTACCTGTAAATCAGTAATTCATTTAAATGTTAAATGTTAAATGTAGCACGTTGTCTGCAGAATGGACAGTGTACTATTACACCCTTACATTGTAAGTACAGTATGTGACCACTGCTTAGGAAGGCAGTGAACTGACATCTCACAAGTCATCACTTCCTCTTGGCCTCACAGGGTGTGAGAACACAAAAGCAAAAATGATTTCCCCTTAGCGGGGCTGTCCTAAAAGAACAAGAACAGCTTACATGTTCACCAGTTGAGGTCTATTACAACAGTGTAAATGCACCAAGTAGAAATTTGAAGCTGATGTTTTTCTTCAGCCGAGTAGGCAAGTGAGACTGTCACATGTCAGCAGGTTTCTTGTAGCCTGACACAGGTCACGTCTCTGACCATTCATGTTGAAAATTAAACTGATATCATGTGCTTTTTTAAAAGTGTACAACGCTGGCTGAGTTTGCCTGGCAAAACAACGTGTTCTTGGAAACATGTCGGCAGCTATGTGGCTCATGTATCCTCGGAGGGTCCAGTGACGCCAGCGTTTGTCACCGACATAATGTGTGTCCCGCCTGTTTACGTAGGCACTCTGGGATAGGCTTACCGATGGTACAGATATACATCGGTATGTGTAACATTGAGTGTTTAAAGGACAGGGTGTTTACTGCAGATATTTAAAATAGTTTATGTAAAAAAACAAAGCGAAAGTGTTTTGGCGTTCAGTGTAACAGTGTAAGCATAACATGTTTTACACTGATAAGTTGTTTTGACCCCTTTTTAGGTACACCTGCTTAAAAGGCTTGTTGCTTAAATGTGATCACGTGGCAGCAACACAATCCATTTAGGTATGTAAACATGGTGAGGATCACCCACCAAAGTTCAAACTGAGCATCTGATTTAAGTGCCAGACACGCTGGTCTGAGCATTTTAGAAACTGATGATCGAGTGGGATTTTTCCATATAACCATTAGTAGGGTTTACAGAGAATGGTCTGGAAGTGAACAAACATTAATTGAGGCCAGTTCTCTGGGTGAAAGTCTCCTATTGATGTTTCAGGTCTGAGGAGAATGGCCAGGTTGCTTTGAGCTGATAGGAAGGCAACTATAACTGTGCTGATCACTCATTACAACCAAAGAGAATCTCTAAATGCTCAACACATAAAACCTTGATGGAGGTGGGCTACAGCAGCAGAAGGCCACACCAGGTGCTAGTTCTGCAGCTAAGAACAGGAAACTGAACTGTGTTTAAACACTACAGCTAGTGTTCCTATGTCTAACACTTTAGGACTACAGTGTACCCATCTACTGATGGCTGCTTCCAGCAGGATAATGTGACATGGCTCAAAGCTCAGATGATCTCAAACTGGTTTCTTCAACATGACAATGAGTTCACTGTACTCAAATAGTCTCCATAGCCACCAGATCTCAATCCAACAGAGCACCTTTTGGATGTAGTGGAACGGGAGGTTCACGTCACAGATTTGCAGCAGCTGTGTGGTGCAAAATGTTTCCAGAAAGTTTTTGAATCTGTACCATGAAGAATTAAGGCACCCCTGAAGGCAAAACGAGGTGCTAACAATGAATAAAGTGGCCAGTGAGTAAAGATGACCATAGAGTGTAATAAAGTAAACTTAAATTCTGCAAAAGCGAGATTAAAAGCATCCTGGCTAAAAATATTTGCATTGCTTCCATTTGAAATTTGCATTGAGGAAAAAAATGACTAAGAGCGCCATATATTTCCTGACACCAACTGTCAGAATTTGAAAAAGGATGGTTGCGAAAGTGCAAACCTAAAACAATAAACGCTCATTTTAAGTTGTGATGGAAAACTACTATGAAGACACATACTCTTCCCCTTTCTGCCTCACAGTCTGGAAAAACAATTAGATCGTGTTCACTCAGAGACACATTTTCCCAGACACACAGGCTGAGCTTGGTTTGGTTGCAGAAGAGCTGCACGTGAGGCTTTTGTAGCGTGTAACCCCGTCCAGTATTTGTCCTGGAGCATGAGGGGAGAAGCAGTCTGCTGTCAGGATTTTGGGCTCTGAGGCACAGAGATACAGACAGAGTGGTTTTGGCAGTAATGTAATTGTACCATTAATGAGAGTAGAGCCGCTTTTTTTTTATTAGAAATGAAATTGGTGCATTTACTTCATGACTTTGTTTCCTTCTCGAGTATGTTAGTCTTTGCAAACTCAGCGTTTGCATCTTTCTACATTAAATACCTATTTTTGCTTATGTTTAGTGTCCTAATCTCACTAACCACGAGCCGACCACATCCTCTTCGCACAGTCTCACTGGAGGGTCTCGCGCTGTAAGCAAACATGGCATGTGCTACGAGGCAGAGCTGTGATTGGCTAGAAAGATCACCTCACAGCATCAGACCTGGCTGACAGACTGGTGACTTTAAACGCTTACGAAGCTTCCACTGCTTCCCGCTGCCAAAGACTTAAGTAAAGTGAGATGTCTTGCTATAGATTTATTTTTTTTGTTATCAGGTTTACAAGTTTAATGCGACTGGATGTAAACGGTCACGAAAGAGCATAAAGTCACTCTCTAGGCACAGAAGAGCTCCGACAAAGTAAGAAAGAGGGTAATTTTGTTGCCACTGTGGCAACTGAATCGATTTTTTCTTTCTTCTTGGCAACTCAACAGCTCGACGCTGATTGGCCAACTAACGGGCCGGTTTGTTTTTTTTTGTAAGTGACGTCATGCAGTGACAGGACTCCTGAGTGAGAGGAACAGACTCGCTTAGAGAGAGTCAACGCTTTAACTTAAACGGTAGCGTTTTTGCTCCATGCTCCCAGGAGCTGCATCCGGGCATCAGACATCACCTGTATCGAGGAACAGGAGGTCTTTTAAAATGTTTCGTTGTTTTATTATTCCCGGTTGATGAAACGCTCGTCTCCCGTGTGTTGGTTAAAAGGCAGCCCCTCAGCTCAAACAGGTATGTTTTGGATTGTTTATGTATATTTGACTGCACCTGACTCTGAGATTAAACCGATGATAAACTGTCTTTATTTACTCTGTAGATGTCTGTTATAACCACGCTGGCCACTTGTGTGTCTTTTATCTGTCTTTACGCTCATTAAGCTTTTTTCATTCATCACAAAAAATTCCCGTTTGCCCTGTCAGGAGGTATATGAGTCAGCTGTTTACCATATCGATTAGACCTTATTACACTTTTAGGTGTTTAAACATGCGTTATGGAAGCTGATTTGTCACATCACGTGTTTTTTATTTAAAATTTTAAATAAAGGAATTTCCTTACATGTAGAAGGTTTTATTTTCTTACATAATCAGGAATAGATTGCATCTTGTACTGTGTGTTTCTGTGTATTGATGTGGGACTGAACAAATTATCTGCTAAGCTGTTCAGCCAGACTCTTCCAAATGAACATACCACAGCTAAACACAAGTGGATGGAAGGATGGATCCTTTATTGATCCCACTGGGGAAATTATTTGGTCACAGAGCAGGATGTGCCACAGGCATATACTGTGAGCCTTATACTATGAAAAAATTTGCACACAACGGTGATTAAAAAAAAAAAAAACCCCAAACAAATATAATAAAAATGAGATTAAGTTGAATAGTAAACAGTAATGTACCAGAGAGTAGTGCTAATTACATTAATGAATAGCATCCACACTATAATTCTAAAAATAAATTAATTAATTAATTAATACAAAGAGTGGATCTATTACTTTCTTCCATGTTTCCTGTCATATATACACTGTTCCAGTGGTGGATGCTCAGGCTTTATAAAGGCTCAGTTTAAGATAAATAAGGATTCTTTTCAACTGTGAATAATACTAAGCTATTCTAAAGGATACAAATGTGGCGCTGAAAAAGTGCATAAAAGGTCTTCTTTAGATGGAGGAGCTCTTTTTCTGAAACCCAGCCCGAGTATTTTGCTAGTGTTCAGAGACACTGAGATGAAACAAAAAGAGGAACAAACACAAGACATCTATTTTTAGATTAGGCTGCACTGTACTGTGTAACAGTATTTTGCACTAAAAGTCCTCTGCTTGAAAGTCAACAGTGTCGTAACACAATGCCCCGGTGGAAAATTCAGTTAATAATTTAATACAGCAAAGGTAATTTAGAAGAGATCTTTTATAAGATTTAACAGTCGGTGTCTCTGTTCTTCAGACAAGGCCTCGTCTCTTGTTCACATGTCCTCAAGGGGTAGGATATGTTGGCATTTTTCCAACATATTTAAGGCCATCTTTCCCTGGATCACCACCTCCAGCACTCTCATCCTGTCTGTTACAAGAAGCTATACAAATCGTAATAGTAGTCAGTCTTTACCCTCTGTAGCCTGCTTACGGCCAAATATAAGACGCTAAATATGTTCCAATTTTCACCAGCGCGGGGCTAGAAATGGAAGCTGAACTATTTATAAAATGTTTCTATTTACATTTGTTTTTTAAGGGGAACTCTAAATCCTGTTGGTGTTGAAAGGTTGTTTGACTCAAATGGGCTTAAAAAAAATACATAAGGGGGTGGATGGGGGTTTTATGCATTGAGTTCATGCTATATTTACTGTATTACATTATATACACATGACTTGACAGTCTGGTCTAACTTAGTCTGTCCTTTGACCTTTGATGTGTGAATGGAAAACAGTTGTAAGGCTTTACAGACTCACAGTATGAGGCCCGAGGGGATGTAAGATGTAAGAGAGACAGTAAGGTCAAAAGTGGTAACAGGTTCTTTGTACAGTTTGTAATTACAGATCAGGAAACAGCTTCAACTCCTTCTTCATCTCTTATCCATACAGAAAGCTTATTTTACCTCAGAGTGTTGGAATAGCTCGCCCTATTTCCAGCGGGGTGAGAGTTATGTCACCAGTGCTTTGATTCACGGGCTGAAGATTGCTACGGTAGATGCCCACTCATAAGCGCGTCCACTTTTGAAAGTTGACCGAGTTCAGGAAGAGGTGACTTACGCAAGTCATTTTAATCCATTCACTTCCCCCAGACCCGTCAAACCATGAATTTCGTGGGCCAGTTGGCGGGCCAGGTGTTTGTCCAGGTCAAAGAGCTGTACCGAGGCCTCAATCCCGCCACCCTCTCTGGCTGCATCGACGTCATTGTTGTGAGACAGCCCGATGGCTCCCTGCAGTGCTCGCCATTCCACGTGCGCTTTGGCAAGCTGGGGGTCCTACGGTCCCGAGAGAAAGTGGTGAGAAGATAAAAAAAAAAAACAACAACAACAACAAGGGCATCTTTAGAGGAAAAGTTTAATGTTCTAGTTTGTTCAGCTCTCACCCTTTTGCTTTTAGGTGGACATGGAAATCAATGGAGAACCAGTAGATCTCCACATGAAGCTCGGAGAGAACGGCGAGGCGTTTTTTGTGCAAGAAACAGAAAATGATCAGGTAACGATTGGGAGCGTTTCCGCGAAGCATAATGCTGTCTGCATGTAATTATATTTTGATTAACTAATTTGGCCAAATCATCTGATCTCATGTGGAACTGCTTAAATGAACAGGTGAGAAAATGACACAGCAGTGAAGAACTTTATATAAAAAAACGCTAAAAGACTGTTATATTTGTAGCCATATAAAAGGCAGTACATTTCGATCGTGGCTCAAGAGTTGGGAGTTCGCCTTGTAATCGGAAGGTTGCTGGTTCGAGCCCCGGCTTGGACAGTCTCGGTCGTTGTGTCCTTGGGCAAGACGCTTCACCTGTTGCCTACTGGTGGTGGTCAGAGGGCCGGTGGCGCCAGTGTCCGGCAGCCTCGCCTCTGTCAGTGCGCCCCAGGGTGGCTGTGGCTACAGTGTAGCTTGCCATCACCCGTGTGTGAATGGGTGGATGACTGGATGTGTAAAGCGCTTTGGGGTCCTTAGGGACTAGTAAAAGCGCTATACAAATACAGGCCATTTACCATTTCCGCCTTTATGTGGCCTTTTTGATTCAAATAAAACCAAGATTCAAATGATAACACTTTATTTACACCCTGCGCTCACACACTCCCCATTTGCAACTGAAAAGTGTTATCCAAACTTTCTTTTTCCTACTCGGAATGATAGTAGTTTGAACAAAGTCGCACTGTGTGCAGAGTTGGCACAGCACCCAGGAATTTCTCCCCTTTCCTTTTTTTAAAAACAGACTGCCTTTGTTTATCAGCGAGCAAGAGCTGAGAACGCAGAATTTACTCACCAAGGCTTTATGACCTGGAAGTATGTCAAACACTGGGAGCATGAGGATAAATCGGAAACTGGATAAATATGCTTTTGGAAATTTAAATGTTTGCGGTATTGCAGTATTTGTGAAACTGGCTTAAGTATTAGAGAAATGCTCAGAGCTTGGCGAGTTAAAGATATGTCAGAATTCCTCTAGTCTGACCTACATTTCTACTTTTTATGTTTACAAAACTTCATGGAAAGCCGTTTTTCCTCAGTTTTTTGGAAAGTCAGTGTTTAATTTTATTTTGGTTTTGCGAGGTTCTGTTGCAGCTTTAAAGAGCCTGGTTGCATGTACTCTCATCTTCTTTCTCTTTCTTTCTCTTTTTGGCTTTGTATGCACGTGAGGATGCATGCAGAAAAAGATAAAAACAAGCTCTAAAGTACTGAAGCTTGGGGCTGGCTGTAACGAGGGAAGTGTCTGATTTATTTTCCCCTGGGTGGTGTCAAATTCTCAGGCTTGAACGAGCAACTAGGGGAGGAGCGTTGTTTCTCTGAACCCATTTTCTTGGCTCAGGGAAGCAAAACGTGAGGCATTGTTGTCAGACCACAAATCATGGTGTTATACGTCAGTTTGTCTTCGCTTTCTGTTTTTCCCCTAAGTCTGCACACACATATTTATGTTCCCCTGGATGGACAGCAGGAGACCTCCTGGAAAACTCTTTTCTTTTCCTAGAAGGAGGGATCATAAAAGTGACCAGAACTGAGAAACAGAGTCTGCTTCTGCTTTGGCAAACCCTTTCCTCTGTGGAGGTTTTTGCAGTTTGGCAGTTAATTGCAAACCTATGTCTCAGACCAAAGTCATGCAATACACTAACTATGGAGTGGGGGATTTATTGCAATGATTATAATCTACTTTTATGCAGAGTGTTGTCATCTTTTGTTTCTCAGTGGTTGACATAGCTTCATGTCAAAGCAGGAGATAATAGCTGTGCAGGTTGCACTATCACTGCGTTACAAAAACCAAAGTGTGAACAGTAGGGGAGTCAGCAACACTCCTACAGCACCCAATTTCAGTGCAGACCTAAAGCTTTGACAGTAAATCCAAACAGATTCCCTCATGTGGGTAGTTTTTGGTGTAACGTTCAGGCTCTTTGTCTGCTCGGCATTGTTTCACTCCTGTTTCCTGTCTTAACAGGAAGTGGTTCCCTCCTACCTGGCCACCTCTCCTATCCTATCAGATGGACCTGTTTTGATGGGGAAGATCTCCGGGACACCCATACAGAATCTGTGCTCCGTGGCAAGCAATGGCGAGAACAGTAACGTGATGATGAAGAAAAGGAGGAAAAGGAGGAGGAAGGCTCGGGCGGACAGCCTGAGGAGAGAGGAAAGTGGAGACTACTCCGCGGACGAAGACATGTTCCCCATAGACATCAGCTCGGATGAAGTGGCAGAAATAGAGAGCAACAGGTAAGAGCTGGCCGTGAGGAGTGAAGGGAAATGGTGAAGGACTAATTAAATACCCATGCAGAAGATGAGGATGATCACCTGACAGTGTAAGAGAGAGTAAAGAAAACCCTGACTAACTCGTCTTTGTGATTATACTCCAGGTCTTCATCTCGGGATGTCTCTAGAGATGAGAACACAGTTGGTTCGACCAACAGTTCTTTCAAACAGGCTGGCATGTACACTCGTTCAGATGGGGAGTGGAGTCCCATTCAGAGGTGCTCAACTCACACAAAATTCTTTCACACCTACAGTAAATGCTATAAATCCATGAAATAAATGTGGAAATGCTATAACCTCTTTCTCCTTTAGTCCTGGAAACTCTCGCCCCACATCTCCCAAGAGTGATTCTGAGCTAATTGGCAAACCGTCAAACACAGACAATCAGAATCCAGAAATGCACTGGGCGTGGGGAGAGCTGCCTCAGGCCGCCATGGTAGGAAAGCCTTAATCCTGATACCCTAATCTGCAGTGTTGTTATTTCTTCAGCTCATATCATCATCTTCTTCTCCACTCTTGTAGCCATCTGTCCTTCCACTGAAGTCCAGCCCTCCACCAGTTTGCCCCGTATCTATCCCGGTGTCTGAAAGCACGCACTTCCGTGTGATTACGCCTGAGGTGTCTTCGGAACAGTGCGGACCCTGCTCGGAAATACCAGCACTGCGACTGCTGATGCCGACAGAGACGATGCACACAGAGGAAATGGTCGATGCAGAATCCATTGGGATGGAGTCTCAAACGGTAACTTCGGCGATGCAAGTTACAACAGTGGGAGGCGTGGCAGCTCGTATGGTGGCCGACATGGAGGACACTTCACTTCGTCCACAAGGCAAAGCAGACTCTCCGTCAAAGAAAAAAGGTAAACCTTAAAAAGGTTTCCCCACGTATCATTTAATGCACTGTGTTACGTCGAGAAGCTGCAGCTTCACACTGCAAATTGCTCAAACTCAATCAGTTGCTCTCCGTAGTATAAGATAAGATGCAACATAAGATGGATTTACAGCCAAAACTGTGTCTGAATCGCTGCATATGATTGCAAAGATAAACAGGGGCCAGGTGAACGGATCTGGTACTACAAGGAAGCTTACAGCCTCATAATAATCCATCCATAGACCCTCTCACAGAGATCAAGCTGGCAAATGATTTGCTTCTGGATAAATCAGTCAGGGGGGAAAAATCGAAGAGGCTGAAAATGAATTTGCTCTTTTGCAGATAAAAGGAGTCGCCATCTTGGTTCTGATGGAATTTATCTGGACGACATCACTGAGCTTGAACCGGAAGTGGCAGCCCTTTATTTTCCTAAGAGGTATTTGGACATCACACACGCTTTCATGTTAAGAAAAGTTTCATACAGTTGTATTTCTGAACTGTGCAGAATGATCAGCGAGATTCTTATCAAAAGTATCTCCTCTTTTTCTTTTTTGCAGTGACACTGGTGCAACAGTGAGGAGCATCTCGGATCCGGGCCTCCACAGCACCAGTCAGTCTCCTCAGTCTGTAAGCTCTGGAGGAGACAGTGGAGTAGACAGTTACTGCGATCCCATGTCTGACCTGCCATCAATTGCCATCTCTTTGTGTGGGGGGCTCAATGACAACAGGGAGATCACGAAAGGTAAACGATCACGTGACATGACACGACTCCAAGATGCACTTTAGACACTGTGTTGTAAGCATGGGGAATAAGTAACGTGTGGGGTTTTTTCTTCTCCCTTCCTTTTACAGAGCAATTTTATAAGAAGACCGTGTCCTATCAGCAGTTCACAGAGAACCCCTCTATCATCGACGACCCCAACTTAGTGGTGAAAATTGGCTCAAAGTAAGACATTCGAGTGTACTGAATGGATTCATGTGTCACACACTGCGGGCAAAAACAGCAGCGTTAGCACAACTCTTTGGCCTAATGAGCTAAAATTGGCTGAAAAACATGTGTTTTGCTGCATTTATGGAAGGGCTAAAAATACATTTTGTTATCTCCCACAGGTACTATAATTGGAACACTGCAGCTCCGCTTGTGCTGGCTATGCAAGCCTTTCAGAAGCCTCTGCCAAAGGTAAGAGTTGATTGCAGACGCTGCACAGATATTTAGGACTCAGTAAGTTGGGTTGGATTACATGAGAAGTATTCCCCCTTCTGACTGATCCCGGTACTGCACCACTTTACATAACATAAGGCCTAATGTGGAGTCTGTGGACCTCAAACCTCACTGTGTTCAGTTTTTGCTACTGCAGACAAAATTTACATTGTGTAACAAATGTCTTCCAAACTTTTGCTCTCAAGCTAAATGTTGTTTTCTCCTTTGTTCTCTCCCCGTCTTATTTTATTACTCCCTCCATCCATCCGTTAGTCCTCCTGCCCTAATTACATTCACTCAACCTTACAGTTCCTCCTCTGCTGTCTGACCAGTGTTCTGGGCTACAGCTCTGTATGTTGGAGAGGATAGCTTACTGTTATGTTCACCAGTTGAGGTCTATTACAACAGTGTAAATCCACCAAGTAGAAATTTGAAGCTGATGTTTTTCTTCAGCCGAGTAGGCAAGTGAGACTGTCACATGTCAGCAGGTTTCTTGTAGCCTGACACAGGTCACGTCTCTGACCATTCATGTTGAAAATTAAACTGATATCATGTGCTTTTTTAAAAGTGTACAACGCTGGCTGAGTTTGCCTGGCAAAACAACGTGTTCTTGGAAACATGTCGGCAGCTATGTGGCTCATGTATCCTCGGAGGGTCCAGTGACGCCAGCGTTTGTCACCGACATAATGTGTGTCCCGCCTGTTTACGTAGGCACTCTGGGATAGGCTTACCGATGGTACAGATATACATCGGTATGTGTAACATTGAGTGTTTAAAGGACAGGGTGTTTACTGCAGATATTTAAAATAGTTTATGTAAAAAAACAAAGCGAAAGTGTTTTGGCGTTCAGTGTAACAGTGTAAGCATAACATGTTTTACACTGATAAGTTGTTTTGACCCCTTTTTAGGTACACCTGCTTAAAAGGCTTGTTGCTTAAATGTGATCACGTGGCAGCAACACAATCCATTTAGGTATGTAAACATGGTGAGGATCACCCACCAAAGTTCAAACTGAGCATCTGATTTAAGTGCCAGACACGCTGGTCTGAGCATTTTAGAAACTGATGATCGAGTGGGATTTTTCCATATAACCATTAGTAGGGTTTACAGAGAATGGTCTGGAAGTGAACAAACATTAATTGAGGCCAGTTCTCTGGGTGAAAGTCTCCTATTGATGTTTCAGGTCTGAGGAGAATGGCCAGGTTGCTTTGAGCTGATAGGAAGGCAACTATAACTGTGCTGATGACTCATTACAACCAAAGAGAATCTCTAAATGCTCAACACATAAAACCTTGATGGAGGTGGGCTACAGCAGCAGAAGGCCACACCAGGTGCTAGTTCTGCAGCTAAGAACAGGAAACTGAACTGTGTTTAAACACTACAGCTAGTGTTCCTATGTCTAACACTTTAGGACTACAGTGTACCCATCTACTGATGGCTGCTTCCAGCAGGATAATGTGACATGGCTCAAAGCTCAGATGATCTCAAACTGGTTTCTTCAACATGACAATGAGTTCACTGTACTCAAATAGTCTCCATAGCCACCAGATCTCAATCCAACAGAGCACCTTTTGGATGTAGTGGAACGGGAGGTTCACGTCACGGATTTGCAGCAGCTGTGTGGTGCAAAATGTTTCCAGAAAGTTTTTGAATCTGTACCATGAAGAATTAAGGCACCCCTGAAGGCAAAACGAGGTGCTAACAATGAATAAAGTGGCCAGTGAGTAAAGATGACCATAGAGTGTAATAAAGTAAACTTAAATTCTGCAAAAGCGAGATTAAAAGCATCCTGGCTAAAAATATTTGCATTGCTTCCATTTGAAATTTGCATTGAGGAAAAAAATGACTAAGAGCGCCATATATTTCCTGACACCAACTGTCAGAATTTGAAAAAGGATGGTTACGAAAGTGCAAACCTAAAACAATAACGCTCATTTTAAGTTTGTGATGGAAAAACTACTAGAAGACACATACTCTTCCCCTTTCTGCCTCACAGTCTGGAAAAACAATTAGATCGTGTTCACTCAGAGACACATTTTCCCAGACACACAGGCTGAGCTTGGTTTGGTTGCAGAAGAGCTGCACGTGAGGCTTTTGTAGCGTGTAACCCCGTCCAGTATTTGTCCTGGAGCATGAGGGGAGAAGCAGTCTGCTGTCAGGATTTTGGGCTCTGAGGCACAGAGATACAGACAGAGTGGTTTTGGCAGTAATGTAATTGTACCATTAATGAGAGTAGAGCCGCTTTTTTTTTATTAGAAAATGAAATTGGTGCATTTACTTCATGACTTTGTTTCCTTCTCGAGTATGTTAGTCTTTGCAAACTCAGCGTTTGCATCTTTCTACATTAAATACCTATTTTTGCTTATGTTTAGTGTCCTAATCTCACTAACCACGAGCCGACCACATCCTCTTCGCACAGTCTCACTGGAGCTGTAAGCAAACATGGCATGTGCTACGAGGCAGAGCTGTGATTGGCTAGAAAGATCACCTCACAGCATCAGACCTGGCTGACAGACTGGTGACTTTAAACGCTTACGAAGCTTCCACTGCTTCCCGCTGCCAAAGACTTAAGTAAAGTGAGATGTCTTGCTATAGATTTATTTTTTTTGTTATCAGGTTTACAAGTTTAATGCGACTGGATGTAAACGGTCACGAAAGAGCATAAAGTCACTCTCTAGGCACAGAAGAGCTCCGACAAAGTAAGAAAGAGGGTAATTTTGTTGCCACTGTGGCAACTGAATCGATTTTTTCTTTCTTCTTGGCAACTCAACAGCTCGACGCTGATTGGCCAACTAACGGGCCGGTTTGTTTTTTTTTGTAAGTGACGTCATGCAGTGACAGGACTCCTGAGTGAGAGGAACAGACTCGCTTAGAGAGAGTCAACGCTTTAACTTAAACGGTAGCGTTTTTGCTCCATGCTCCCAGGAGCTGCATCCGGGCATCAGACATCACCTGTATCGAGGAACAGGAGGTCTTTTAAAATGTTTCGTTGTTTTATTATTCCCGGTTGATGAAACGCTCGTCTCCCGTGTGTTGGTTAAAAGGCAGCCCCTCAGCTCAAACAGGTATGTTTTGGATTGTTTATGTATATTTGACTGCACCTGACTCTGAGATTAAACCGATGATAAACTGTCTTTATTTACTCTGTAGATGTCTGTTATAACCACGCTGGCCACTTGTGTGTCTTTTATCTGTCTTTACGCTCATTAAGCTTTTTTCATTCAATCACAAAAAATTCCCGTTTGCCAACACTGTAAGGAGGTATATGAGTCAGCTGTTTACCATATCGATTAGACCTTATTACACTTTTAGGTGTTTAAACATGCGTTATGGAAGCTGATTTGTCACATCACGTGTTTTTTATTTAAAATTTTAAGTAAAGGAATTTCCTTACATGTAGAAGGTTTTATTTTCTTACATAATCAGGAATAGATTGCATCTTGTACTGTGTGTTTCTGTGTATTGATGTGGGACTGAACAAATTATCTGCTAAGCTGTTCAGCCAGACTCTTCCAAATGAACATACCACAGCTAAACACAAGTGGATGGAAGGATGGATCCTTTATTGATCCCACTGGGGAAATTATTTGGTCACAGAGCAGGATGTGCCACAGGCATATACTGTGAGCCTTATACTATGAAAAAATTTGCACACAACGGTGATTAAAAAAAAAAAAACCCAAACAAATATAATAAAAATGAGATTAAGTTGAATAGTAAACAGTAATGTACCAGAGAGTAGTGCTAATTACATTAATGAATAGCATCCACACTATAATTCTAAAAATAAATTAATTAATTAATTAATACAAAGAGTGGATCTATTACTTTCTTCCATGTTTCCTGTCATATATACACTGTTCCAGTGGTGGATGCTCAGGCTTTATAAAGGCTCAGTTTATGATAAATAAGGATTCTTTTCAACTGTGAATAATACTAAGCTATTCTAAAGGATACAAATGTGGCGCTGAAAAAGTGCATAAAAGGTCTTCTTTAGATAGAGGAGCTCTTTTTCTGAAACCCAGCCCGAGTATTTTGCTAGTGTTCAGAGACACTGAGATGAAACAAAAAGAGGAACAAACACAAGACATCTATTTTTAGATTAGGCTGCACTGTACTGTGTAACAGTATTTTGCACTAAAAGTCCTCTGCTTGAAAGTCAACAGTGTCGTAACACAATGCCCCGGTGGAAAATTCAGTTAATAATTTAATACAGCAAAGGTAATTTAGAAGAGATCTTTTATAAGATTTAACAGTCGGTGTCTCTGTTCTTCAGACAAGGCCTCGTCTCTTGTTCACATGTCCTCAAAGGGTAGGATATGTTGGCATTTTTCCAACATATTTAAGGCCATCTTTCCCTGGATCACCACCTCCAGCACTCTCATCCTGTCTGTTACAAGAAGCTATACAAATCGTAATAGTAGTCAGTCTTTACCCTCTGTAGCCTGCTTACGGCCAAATATAAGACGCTAAATATGTTCCAATTTTCACCAGCGCGGGGCTAGAAATGGAAGCTGAACTATTTATAAAATGTTTCTATTTACATTTGTTTTTTAAGGGGAACTCTAAATCCTGTTGGTGTTGAAAGGTTGTTTGACTCAAATGGGCTTAAAAAAAATACATAAGGGGGTGGATGGGGGTTTTATGCATTGAGTTCATGCTATATTTACTGTATTACATTATATACACATGACTTGACAGTCTGGTCTAACTTAGTCTGTCCTTTGACCTTTGATGTGTGAATGGAAAACAGTTGTAAGGCTTTACAGACTCACAGTATGAGGCCCGAGGGGATGTAAGATGTAAGAGAGACAGTAAGGTCAAAAGTGGTAACAGGTTCTTTGTACAGTTTGTAATTACAGATCAGGAAACAGCTTCAACTCCTTCTTCATCTCTTATCCATACAGAAAGCTTATTTTACCTCAGAGTGTTGGAATAGCTCGCCCTATTTCCAGCGGGGTGAGAGTTATGTCACCAGT